GCTGATCCGAAGCCAGGAGCCAGGTGCCTATCCTGGTCTCCCATGCGGGTGCAGGGCCCAAGCACTTGGGCCATCCTCCACTGCACTCCTGGGCCACAGCAGAGAGCTGGCCTGGAAGAAGGGCAACCGGGACAGAATCCAGTGCCCCGACCGGGACTAGAACCCGGTGTGCCGGCGCCGCTAGGCGGAGGATTAGCCTATTGAGCCGCGGCACCGACCTACCATCCCTTCTTATGCTGTTAACTCTAGGGATGGAGCTGCTTCCTGTAGGAACTAATTGCTGGATTACAGCAGCATTACTTTTTGCTCTTTCAGCTTTTCAACATCCGTGCTACTGATTCCTTGTGCAATAGCCCCTCTGTTGAAATACCTAGCACAGTTTCTGGCTTTTAGCTGGATTATGACCAATACAGTGCTTGGTTACCAGAAGTCCTCCCAGCAGCCAGGGCTGCTAACATGGTTTTTTTTTCGGGTGGATATCTCTTTGACTTTGAGTGTAGTTGTGATCTCATTGGCAGTGGAAGAGAGGATACTGATAATCTAGGGTGTGTGATGACACCGCAGTATTAGAATCATAACCCGTAGTTGCTTGGGCTGATGTGGTAAGCAAGATTCCGGGGGGCCAAGTGGCTGCTACATTTGACCTTTGGAAATAGTAATGGCTGTGTGGACTGTGAGGTTAGTGATTTCTGACTGCACTGAGAAGCTGATGGAAAATAAGCACAGGGCTTTAGGTTCCCAGCCTGAGTCATATTCAGAATAGATAACAGCACTGATGTAGCCTTCAAAGGATCCCTTAATTCTGGTAGCTACAGAGAAGCTATGGCTGAAAATCAGGCCCAAATTTACTCAAGTATGCTGTAAATCAGTTGAATGCACTGTCTTTTAAACAGAAGTAGGGCTTTGGTGGGGAGAAAATACTACCTTGTAAGTTGGCCTGGGGTCATTGGGTGGACTTGAAATGGCTGGATCATATGGTAGATGTATGCTTCATATTCTAACCAACTACCCACTCATTGTTGTACCGTTTTACCTCTCCACCAGCAGTATATGAGAGTTTCAGTTGTCAGAACTTGTCGCTTGTCAGCAATGCTTTGATCAACCATTTCCATTTATACCCTCCAGTATGAGTGTAGCAGGTGATATTTTATTATGGCCTTAATTTGCATTTATCTAGTGACTACTGCTTTTAATGTGCTTATTTGTCACAGGCTTATCTTTTTTTTGGTAAACTGTTTGAATCTTTTGCTCATCTTGTTAATGTGTTGTTTTCTTTCTTTTTTTTTTTTAAAAGATTTATTTATTTGAAAGACAGTTACAGAGAGGCAGAGAGAGAGAGAGAGAGAGAGAGAGAGAGAGAGAGATTTTCCATCTGCTGGTTTACTCCCCAAGTGGCCGCAATGGCTAGAGCAGGGCAGATCTGAAGCCAGGAACCAGGAGCTTCTTCCAGGTCTGTCATGTGGTTGCAGGGGCCCAAGCACCTGGGCCATTTCCTCTTCTTTCCCAGGCCATTAACTGGGAGCTGGACTGAAAGAAGAGCAGCCAGACTTGAACCAGCACCCATATAAGATGCCAGTGCGATAGGGGAGGATTAACCTACTAAGCCCCAGCACTGGCCCCCTCCTATATTCTTAGAGGTAACCTCTATCCTTAATTTGTGTTTACTAACCCCCTAGCTTTTATTCATATTATCACCTTTATTCATGTCCTTAGCAAAAATCTTGTTTATATGTACAGAGTTTTGAACAAATGCCAGAAAAGTTTTGTTGGAATTTCATTGAATATAGGAAACTATTGGTGTAGAGTTGATATCTTTAAGATGTTGAGACATCGTTCATAAACATGGCATGTCTATTAATTTTGGCTTTCTGTGTCTTTCAACTTTGTTTTTTTTAATTTAAAAAAAATTTTTTTTATTTTTTTTGACAGGCAGAGTGGACAGTGAGAGAGAGAGAGACAGAGAGAAAGGTCTTCCTTTGCCGTTGGTTCACCCTCCAATGGCTGCCGCGACCGGTGTGCTGTGGCTGGCGCACCGCGCTGATCCGAAGCCAGGAGCCAGGTACTTATCCTGGTCTCCCATGGGGCGCAGGGCCCAAGCACCTGGGCCATCCTCCACTGCACTCCCTGGCCACAGCAGAGAGCTGGCCTGGAAGAGGGGCAACCGGGACAGAATCCGGAGCCCCAACCGGGACTAGAACCTGGTGTGCCGGCGCCGCAAGGCGGAGGATTAGCCTAGTGAGCTGCGGCGCCGGCTTGTGTCTTTCAACTTTGTAGTTCACTGAGCTTCTCGAGTCCGAGTGTTGCTGTCTTTCAATAATTTTGGAAAAAATTTCAGCTAATATCTTAAAAGTATTTCTTTCATTTCATCCCCCTCCCTTCTTCTGGGGACTCCACTTGCATATATATTAGACCATTTGGTATGTTCTGTCTCTCCTGCTCTGTTATATTTGCTTTGTATTCTTTTTTCTTTCTGTGCTTTGATTAGTATATTTTTATTGACCTGTCTTTGAGTTCACAGATTCTTGTCAGTTTGCTATTAAGTCCATCCAGTAAATTTTTAACTTCAGAGTTTTTAACGTTCCATTTTAGAATACCCAGCTTATCCCTGGGGTCCCCACTTGAAGTGCAGTGACACGTTGATGATCCCCATGGAGCCATGCTTCCCAGCATTCATGCCCGTGTGCAGTCCTCTTTCATGTTCACCCTGGGTCAGCTGACTTGTGTTGGCCCATAGGACTTCAGCAAACACACACACACACACACACACACACACAAACACATTTGATAAATGCTGCATATTAGAGCTTACCCTCTTGGACCCAGCTATCATGCAAGAAGCCAACATCTACTTCCTGGAGATGAAGAGGCCACGTGGAGAGAGATTAGTCACATTAGTGACCTGATGTGAAAATATCAGAATAACCACTCAATAAGTCACAGAACAGTGAGGACTAATACATGTCTGTGCTTTTAATCCACTGTTTTGGAGTGATTATTAATGCAGCAATAGAAAGTTATATAGGGGCTGGCACTGTGGTGCAGTAGGTTAATCCTCTGCCTGTGGCGCCAGCATCCCATATGGGCGCCAATTCTAGTCCTAGTTGCGCCACTTCCAATCCAGTTCTCTGCTATGGCCTGGGAGAGCAGTAGAAGATGGCCCAAGTCCTTGGGCCCCTGCACCCACATGGGAGACCATGAAAAGCGCTGGTCACCTGGCTTCAGAAGGGCCATTGCGGCCATTTGGAGAGTGAACCAATTGACGGAAGACCTTTTTCTCTGTCTCTCACTCTCCCTGTCTGTAACTCTACCTCTCAAATAAAAGAAATAAAATCTTAAAAAAAAAAATAAAGTCATATACTGATTTTGTGTATACTCATTTAAATTCTCATCTTGTAATCTGTTTATCAGTCTTTTCTTTGATTTCTTTAACACATTTATGAGAGTTATTTTAAAGTTGTCTGTTAATTCCAACAGCTTTACCAATTTAGGGCTTTCATCTGTTTGATTATTTTTTATTCTTGATTCTGAGTCATATTTTCCTGCTTCTGTGTGTGTCTTGCAATTTAAAAATGTTTATTATTTGAGAAGCAGATGGAGGAGGGGTAAGAAGAGTGCTCTCATCTGTTGGTTCACACCCCAAATGCCCACGATGGCCACGGGCTGGGAGCCAAAGCCGGGAGCTACAGAAGCCCAGGTGCTCGCGCCGTCTCTGCTGCCTCTCCTGGGCTGCAGGAAGCTGCAGTCAGGAGCCAGAGCTCGGCCTCAGACCCAGGCGCTGTGATGAGGGACGAGGCCTAAACTTCCAGGCAGATGCCCACCCCGTGTCGTGCGATTTTAAAAATTGTTTACATGCCGGAAATTGTATTTAAAAGAACTGCGGAGACTAGAGTGTTCTTTTTCCCTCAGGCAGAGTGCACTCTGGGACTGGTTATTGGTAAAACTGCAAACCAACATAGCAACGGGTTATTTCTTGTGGTGCAAGGAGTTTTGAGATCTTAAAGTAGTGATTTATGAGATGACAATGAGGTTAATAATATAACCAGAGACAGTTTGTAAGAGGACAGTAAAATTACTGTGTGCAAGCTGAGTTCATTACTGACAATGAATATGCTTATATCATAAAAATCTCTAGAGAAGGGTGTTTGGTGCAGCAGCTTAAGTCACTGCTTGGGATGCCTGCATCCCTTATCAGTGTACCCAGTTTGAGTCCTGGATACTCCACTTACACCTCTGATCCAGCTTCCTGCTAATATGCAACCAGGGAGGCATCAAATAATGGCTCAAGGGCTTGGGCCTCTGCCATCTACATGGGAAATCTGGATGGAGTTCCTGGCTCCTGGCTTCAGGCTGGCCCAGCCTGACCGTTGTGGGCATGTGGGGAAGGAAGCAATGGATGGAAGATTTCTGTCTATCTGTTTCTCTGCCTTTCAAATAAAGTGGAAAAAAAATCTGGAAATATAAGAGTATAAGCACCTCTTTTGTGTGGGGCCAGAAAAATGATGTCATTGCGTCTTCTAGATTCCAGAAAATTCCACCGTGTGCTTATAAGAGTGAGATTGAAAAAGGCAAATAACGTCTTATTGTTGTGATGAAAATAGTTTTTACAGGGCCAGTGCTCTGGCTAGAAGGTTAGGCCTCCGCCTGCACTGTTGACATCCCATATGGGCTCCAGTTCAAGTCCCGACTGCTCCACTTCTCATCCAGCTCCCTGCTAATTCACCTGGGAAAGCAGCAGAAGATGGCCCAAGTCTTTGGGCCCCTGCACCCACATGGGAGAAGCGGATGAAACTCCTGGCTCCTGGCTTCCTGGGCCAGGCCGTTGCAGCCATTTCTGGAGTGAACCAGCAGATGGAAGATCTCTCTTTCCCTCTTTCCTTCTCTCTCTCTATTTCTGCCTTTCAAATAATTAAATATTTAAAGAAAAAAAGAAAACAAAATAGTTTTGACTTCTTGCGCACCTGAAAGAACTGCTGGCGTGGACTAACAGGCAAACACAGGGATCAGTGGAGGTGTTTATTGATAGAGCGGGAGCATCCACTGGGCTTAGACTCAGGGTAGCTTCTCCTGCATTTTCACGGCGTCCGGCTTCAAAGCGCTTAAAATAACCGATGCTTTTGTTTGGGCTGGTATTTGGGCTTCACGCAGCACATTTTAGTATTTGTGCAGTAAACATAGACCCTCTCCTTCCTGTGACATCTGTAGCGGCATTTGCCATGAAAATTCCAGCATTTCTGGGTGTCACCTGCCACAAAGCAGAGAGAAGAAAGGAGATCATGTCAGTCCTAAGACGAGGCAAGCTTGGGGTTTGCAAAGTCTGCTATAGGATGAAACAGGTGTGATGGGGGATCCCCTCTCCCACGCCGTTGACTCTTCCCATTTACTTTTTCCTTTACCCTGTTTTTCACTACCTACCTTGTCCATGAATCTGGACTAAGTGACAAACCAGGATGCTTTAGAAAACTGTCCTTGAAAAGACTGAGAGTCACCGGGATGCGATTGCACCAGTGGCCCTAAGCAAACGTGTAAACTGGAAGACCTTGAGCAAGTTACTTCTTAAAGTTCTTACACTGCATGGGAATTGGAATGTTATTATTTGGAGGCAGATTGTGATAAGGAAAAGATGTCTATTGGAAGCCTTAGAGTTAATTCAAAGTCTGGCCAAGGAACTGTACGAGAGGAGCCCACAATATCTCGTCACACCAGATAGCCAGTGTGAAACCATGCAACTGCTTTTGTTAGTGAACAAAAGGCCTAAGTGCGGAGGAATCTTCTCCCTCCCGTCACAGCTGTCAGACACTTTGTATCTGAAGTCCTATCAGTAAGAAAGGAACACTACCTTCTGCCCCAAGGAACTGCGTCTTTCAGCAGCCTTGACTCCGAGGCAGGTGCCGAGCGTTAGCTAAGGAAGGAGGTCTAGGACATAAACTTTCACATCTCCTTTAATTTTGTACCTTTTGTGGAAATGGGACCCTGAGTCTGTTTCTCAGTCTGGGCCTGATGCTAACCCTTTGACATACAGCCTGAGGCTCTGCCTTGCCTTGGAATCTGTCAAACTCTTTATTTCCATAATACCCAAACGTTGCCCTTCCTGTTCTTCCTATAGTTCCCCTACATTGTTTTTGTTTGGTGAGGTGCTCCACCCCTCAGAGGTCGCTCGGCCTGTGGTTTCCTTTGCTGTGGCAGGTTGGCATGTTTAACTTTGTCAGCTTAACACGAGTGTGTCCCTGTGGCCTTTCTAAGTTGGACTTTATCACAGCCACAAGGAGACTAGCAAAGACTTCCAGGGATATGTAAAACAAGGCTCAGGAGCCATGGTAAAGAGACTCCTGCCAGCCAAGGGTGGGACCATTTGAGTTTCAGTAAGAACAAACATTGTAATGAATGAAAATGTATCAAATACAGAGATGGCAGGGAATTCATTCATTATCCTGCAGGTCCACAACAAAGAAATCTCCCAGCATTAGTGTGCCTTTCCTATATGAACTTACTGCTGAGTAACCACATGGTAGATATGGTGTGTGTCAGCTGACTAGCGCAAAATCACACTATGGAATACCATCATTCTACAATGCTCAGGGAATGAAGGAGTCTAGACTTTGAGCATCAATGAGTGCTATTAATACTATTGCTATTATTACTAAAAAGGAGACAACCAGGTATTACGTGCCTTCCAATGAAAGAACATTCTACCACGAAGAGGTTTTGCCAAAAAGGATAGAACTTGAGAGTCATCAAACCTCTGGACCCAGCTACCAATTTGCATGTCATACAGAAGTCAGAGGAATATACTTTGAGAATTCAATCAGCGGAATCTGTGCTGTGGGCAGTTATAGGTCAAATGACCCATACTTTTTTTTTTTGACAGGGAGAGTGGACAGTGAGAGAGAGAGAGACAGAGAGAAAGGTCTTCCTTTTGCCGTTGGTTCACCCTCCAATGGCCGCCGCAGCCGGCGCGCTGCGGCCAGCACACCACGCTGATCCGATGGCAGGAGCCAGGTGCTTATCCTGGTCTCCCATGGGGTGCAGGGCCCAAGCACTTGGGCCATCCTCCACTGCCTTCCCGGGCCACAGCAGAGAGCTGGCCTGGAAGGGGGGCAACCGGGAAAGAATCTGGCGCTCCGACCGGGTCTAGAACCTGGTGTGCCGGCGCCGCAAGGCGGAGGATTAGCCTAGTGAGCCAAGGCGCCAGCAGTGACCCATGCTTTTTAACAGACAAGTTGTAAACAGCAGAAATGGATGAAGATGGAATCAGGAAATTGAAAAATTAAAAGAATACCAGGAGACATCAGATTTTAACCACATGGATAGGGTGTCTAAGATGCAACCTTAGGCCAGCACCTTGGCTCACTAGGCTAATCCTCCGCCTTGTGGCACCGGCACACCGGGTTCTAGTCCCGGTCAGGGCACCGGCTTCTGTCCCGGTTGCACCTCTTCCAGGCCAGCTCTCTGCTGTGGCCAGGGAGTGCAGTGGAGGATGGCCCAAGTGCTTGGGCCCTGCACCCCATGGGAGACCAGGATAAGTACCTGGCTCCTGCCATCGGATTAGCGTGGTGCACCAGCCGCAGCGCGCCAGCTGTGTTGGCCATTGGAGGGTGAACCAACAGCAGAAGGAAGACCTTTCTTTCTGTCTCTCTCTCTCTCTCACTGTCCACTCTGCCAGTCCAAAAAAAAAAAAAAAAAAAGATGCAACCTTAATAATGAGACTATCAAGAAATACAAAGACTGGGGGCAGACATTTTGGCTGACTGGTTAAGTCGTGGCTCGGGACAGCACATCTCCTGTCAGGGCCTGGTTTGAGTCGTGCCTCCTCTGCCTCAATCCAGCTTGCTGCTAATGCGCTTCCTGGGAGGCAGCAGGTGATGATGCAAGTGCTCCCCCGACCTGGGCAGGAGATCTGGATGGAGTTCCGACCTCCTGGCTTTGGCCTAGCCTCGACCTGGCTGTTGTGGGCATTTGGGGAGTGAACCAGTAGATGGATGATCTCTCTTTCTGTGTCTCCATCTCTCTGCCTTGAAAAATGCCAAGAATCAACTACTAAAAAGTAAAAATAGCGCTTAGTTTGAGGGAGGGAGACATTTGTGTTGGGGGCGTCGAGAGAGGGCTTTTGTAGCGGCTGTCAGTGTTCTGTTTATTCCCCTGGATATTGGTTACAAGAATGTGCATTTAATACCATTGGTTAAACTGCACCTCTATTTTAGATGGGTTTCAATATCTGTGATTCTGTGTTTTATTTCATAGAAAGATAATGAAACCCCTCACCATTTAAAAACAGAATCTCAATATTTAATTAAAAAGTGTCAAAATGAACTGTTGGTGAGATCAAAAGGAAAGTTACTCCTACGCTTTTTGTGGTCACCCTCTTTGGAGACTGCTTATCAAAGACTTAAGAATTGTGCAGTGTGGGGCCAGTGCTGTGACGCAGTGGGTTAACGCCGTGGCCTGAAGTGCTGGCATCCCATATGGGCGCCGGTTCGAGACCCAGCTGCTCCACTTTCCATCCAGCTCTCTGCTATGGCCTGGGAAAGCAGTGGAAGATGGCCCAAGTCCTTGGGCCCCTGCACCCGTGTGGGAGACCCAGAAGAAGCTCCTGGCTCCTGGCTTCAGATCAGCGCTGCTCCGGCTGTTGCAGCCAATTGGGGAGTGAACCATCAGATGGAAGACCTCTCTCTCTCTCTCTCTCTCTCTCTCTGTAACTCTGACTTTCAAATAAATAAATAAATCTTAAAAAAAAATTGTGCAGTGTTTACCTAGCAATTTCTTTTCCAGATGACTATCCTAGGGAAACACACACATGTATACAGTCTGAGAGGCTTATGCCCAGAGATAAAACCACAAGCCAGTTAGAGACAGATGCCTGCCCTCAGAGAACTTCCAGTCTACTGAGAGCAGGAAGAACCATTGGAGAAATAGGGAAGTTCATAGAAAAGGGAGTAAAAGACAAATCTATTTCCATGCAAGACAAAAGTGATCTTCAGAAAGCTCATCAAAAATGTGTATAATGAAAAAACTATGCATGGATTTCAAATTTTTTTGCATCAAAATTCTTACCTTTTAGGTCCATTTTTCCATGAACATTTTGAAATAGCCTTGAGGCTACTCTGATACTTGATTAATTAGAGAAGGATGAAAGTACAGAGGACGACTCCAGGTGCTAGGAAGAAGTGTAATGGAGGGGTGGGTGATATAACCCACCTGCAAACTAGGGGACAGGCCTCCATTGCTCCCCTACTAGTGGCCTGCTGATGGAACTGTGCACCTGGGAAGTGGAGCTAAGCAACGTGAGAAAGGCCGGAGTAAGAAGGTCTCATGCTAGGAACAGGCGGATCGGTCTGGAGAAATTGCCAGAGCAGAGAGCACTTACTCCCAGGCTGTCAGAGCACAGCTCCCTGAAATTTCCAGGAGCCTGAAATTTCTTGAGGCTGGTGTTGTGGTATAGCGGGTAAAACTGCTGTCTGCGATTCTGTCCATCCCAGATGGGCACCGGTTCAAGTCTCGGCTGCTCCACTTCTAATGCAGATCCCTGCTAATGTACCTGGGAAAGCAGCAGAAGATGGCCCAAGTGCTTGGACCCCTGCACCCATATGGGAGACCCAGAAGAAGCTCCTGGCTCCTGGCCTTGACCTGACCCAGTCCCTGCCTTTGTGGCCATTTGGGGAGTGAACCAGCAGATGGAAGATCTCTCCCTGTGTCACTCTGTTTCTCTCTCTCTCTCTGTAACTCTGCCTTTCAGGTAAAATAAAAAAAAGTAGATCTTAAAAACAAACAAGCAAACAAAAGAAATAGCCAGCTCTTCAGCATGGATAAAGCACATCGTGGTGCTACCTGGAAGGGGATTAAAGTGGCTGATGGAAGTGGCTGGACTCCCCTCTGTTACCCTGTAGCAGAGAACAGATCCAAAAGGCCACCAAGTTCCTCTGACTCTGATGGTGACAGGAAAACCAGTGCTGAGCTGAGAGCCTGAGGGACCTGCCAAGAGAGGATTCCAATGCAGAAGACAATGAGGGATGTGTGGACACCCTTCATCCAGAGAATAGATGGAAAGTTTGCCTGAGATGAAGGGCTGACTCCAGGGAACCCCCAACAGGGCCAAGAGATTTCGCCAGCCGCATGATCTAGTAGCAAGCACTAGCAAGACACTCACTGAGCACACCCAGTGAGGGACGGCATTCCAGATGTCAGCGAGCGTACAGCTCAGGGCTCTATTCCACCTCCACACCTGCCCCAGGGCCTTTGATCGTCGTTCCCTCCAGCTTCCACTGACCCCTATGCTTCGTCAGGTTACAGTGAGCTACTGGACCAAAAAATGGCAAATGCATCTGCCCTGGTATTTGCTCTCTCCTCTCCTGCCTATTTGCTAGTCCTATCCCTTATCTGATGCACCATCTTCTTTGTGGGTTTCCTCAGTTCTCTGGGTGTTCCAGTAGCGTGCAAGATCCAGGACACAGATTTTGCTTATCTCATTTTGTTCTGTTTGTTTGCTGCTCTACCTCCGAAACCTGTCACAGTGCTAGGAACATGAAATCCACTCAGCCACACTTATTGAATGAACCAGTTAATTAATCAGCAACATATCAAGTGAAACCCCGAGCTGTCCTGGGAAGGAGAAGGGAAGCAGATGGAAGGCAACATGCTGAGAGACTGGATAATTGTTCAAGAAACTGAGTTAGCTTGGAAACCGTTTTAAACCAGGAAAGACTTACGGTGAACTACTGAGTTTAGCTACAGCCTCCATGCACCCCCTCCTGCCTTGCCTTTCCACTGGCTTTCCCACATGGAAGTTTCCAGAAAGTTCAGTTGAGTTACAGAAAATAAAGACGCTACACCCCCCTCCCCCCTCCCCATCACAGTTTCAATGTGTCAGTGTTGTTGTTCCCTCCCTTTGATATTGTTAGAGCAGTTTGAGAAATGAGGAATTAGACACCTGGAGCAGCTGGGGTGGGGGTGGGCTCATAGAGTTAGAAAGGTGGGGGCAGGTTCTAGCAACCTTGGGGTGGGCAGAAGCTTCTGCCAGAGGGGCAGGAGGGGGCAGGGAGCTGGCACCAGGGTTGGAGGAAGGGGTGGGTCCGCCAAGGTCACTTCCTGCTTAAGCTTGTCCATGGCTCCCCCCATGACATTCAAGCCCCATCCGGACCTGGACCTTGATGGCTTCCTCAGCTTCACCCCTCCCTGTTCCCCAATCCATGCCTCCCTTCGGGAGAACTCCTGAAGGCCCCATGCTCTCTCCTACATCTGCACCTTGGCATAAGCCGATCTCTGTGCCCGGGGCAGCCTTTGTCCTTCCTCCTCTTCTCGCTTTCTGACCTCCGTGCACTTCCCAGGACGGGGGTTTCCTGGCACGAGCCCTGCTGCCTCTGCTTGGTGCTCTGGCCCCTCTGGCCTCATCTTCTCCTAGCCCGGCTTGTAAACGCCATTCAGCCCTCTGCCTAGGCCTATATCATGTATCTTTCTGGTCCTGGCACCCAGCACAGTCTGGCACAGTTAGCAACAGCACATGCCAGCTTCGCTGTCCCCTTGAGGTGGCTGCAATCTTCACAAAGCCTAGATTATTCTGGAGACTAACAGGGCCACTATTGCCCTCTTCTTCTCTTTTCTACCTCCCCTGCCTACCCCTTCTACTCTTCCTCACACACCAGGCCACCTGCACCTGCTCCCTGGAGCTGAGCAGGGGCATGAGGGATGGAGGAGGCTGAGCGAGCAGTTCTGGACATTGTAGTCGGTTCCTAAGTACCTAAGCCCTGGCACCCGCTGCTAGCCAGGGCTTCCTTGGGATTCCCTGGCCAGGCCTCAGTCTCCACACCCTGCCCCTCCCCCTGAGGAGGTCCTGGTTACCTGGAGTGAGCTGGGACAAGAGCAGCAGCGTAGCCAAAGTCAGCAAAAGGAGCTTCATGGCCGCAGACCACCGAAGGTGAAGCCGCAAGCGATGCGAAGCTAACAGGGAGATGGGGGAGTGCCCGGCCTCTCTGGCTGCTGCTCCCTGTGGTCAACTGGAGTACACGTCACTCTCACGTGCCCTCTGATGGCCACAGTGTGGAGCCACACCCATGCCTTCTAGTCGTCATTTAGGTCAGCCAACGAGATCCATGGACCAAGACCATCTGGGCCAGTCCACCCAGTTCCAAACAGCCCAAGCCAAGGTGCCAGCAGGGGGCACTACAGACACAATTCCAGAAGATGAGGGAAGGCTTTGTCCTGTTTTGAAGAATGAACACCAAAGCCACCGGTAGGTGAACCAAAAGGGGGTTCCAGGCAGAGGTTGTCTGTACAAAGGCTCATATTGGTGCTGAAAATGAGAAACAGGGTGCCACTGCAGCAAAAACTGGGAGGAAATGGTAGCAAGAGGTAGAGTTTGGAGCCCCAGCTCTCTGTGCCCTCTCAAGTGCCCACAGCCAGACAGTGGACCTTCCCTCAAGGCACTCCTTCTGGGCACCTGGCTGTGTCCTCTGTTGCAGATCCAGGCACCAACCATTTGGGGTCCCTTCTTTGAACTCAGGTTTTGAAAATTTCTCTCTCCTCTTTCTTTCTATTTATTTATTTGAAAGAGTTATAAGGGAGAGAGAGAGAGAGAAAGAGAGAGAGAGAGAGAGAGAGAATCTTCCATCCACTAGTTCACTTCCCAAATGGCCATGATGGCCAGGGCTGTGCCAGTCTGATACTAGGAACCAGGAGCTTCTTCTGGGTTTCCCACATGATACAGGGACCCAGGGACTTAGGCCATCCTATGCTGCTTTTCCCAGGCACATTAGCAGGGAGCTGGATCAGAAGTGGAGCATCCGGGACACGAACTGGTGCCCACAAGGGATGCCGGCATCGCAGGCAGCAGCTTTATGTGCTATGTCACAATGCTGGCCTGGAAAACTGCTGTTTCTTTTGGGTTCCTCAGCCCTAAGATGGTAGCTGCATCCCTAGTTACTATAATGCACATTTCCACAGGGTCCTCTTTCCTTCTTTCAATCTTCCAACAACGTGTAAGCAGTTCCCCTCTATGAAACAGCCTCTGTTCCGAATGCTTACTTGATCTCTGTTTCCCAAGCAGACCCTGCTTGATCCAGAGGTCAAGGGAATAGAAGCAGATCCGGATAAGATAACAGTGAAAACTATTTCTGTAGGGGCAGCAAACATATTGAACGGGGTTGAAGATAGATAAGTAAACGAGTGAGGTTGGCAAATGCAAATAATTCTCCCTAAAGTCTTTATAAGGAAGAGGAGAAGAGAGGCTGGGAAGGGACTTGGTTCCAAAAGTCTGGGCGTGCCCCATGGCCATGGCGTTCATTGCTGTTCAGGGCGCTCAGCTTTTCAAGCGTGTTATTTAAAGCTCAGTCCGGGAAACAGAACAGTCAGTATGATGGAATACGAAATTTGTGGTTAAGATTTAGACTCTAGTCCACTGTAGGAGGAGCTGGAAAAGCAAAGGGTTGTAAGGATTAGAGGAAAGTCGGCAGCCAGCCCTGGCATGGGTGGGTGAGCCAAGGAAACAGACCACTTCCAGGCCTGTGGTGGGACTGCTAAGGGAGCTGGAGTAGGAGCCACTGGAAGACGTTAGCCCAACAAGGTGGCGGCCTGTTGGTTGAGTTCGTGGAGAAAAGTTTGATGGTGACTCTGGGGTCACATTGGTCAGAGGGCTGGAAGCAGATAGAGGGTGGCTGTGGTTCATTCGTGGTGATAAATACCTCACACTAATACGAGGTGTTAATAATAGGGGTTCTGAGTGTGGGGGAGAGGAGAACTCTGCACCATTCCACAATTTCTGTTTTGTAACTGTAAAACTATTCTGTAAAAAGAACTTGGCCATGCTGACTCTCCTTGGACAGGCTACGTGCACACATAGTGCAGTGTTCCTCTGCTCCCTGGCCAGTCTCCCTTGTCACCTTTTGCTAACACAGCCCATGATGGATACACCTGACAAAGGCTTCAAAACCTGAGCAAAATTAGTGGTTGACTGAGTCTCTTCAAATGACAGGCCTGGGGATGGACTACAGCTTTGCAAGAGCCACACAGTGTACTTGGGAGTTGAGGTCAAGGGGAAAGACACTTGATCTCCATGTTTCAGAGACTTCGGGTCTTATGAGGGCAGCCGGAGAATCCATTTAGGAGTTGAAAACCTGGATCGCTGTGTTCTTCTGCTGACTGTGCCTTGTCAGCACCTTGAGAACCACGTAAGGTGATGGGGAGATTGACCCCTACCCCCCATCTGCTCCAGCCTCCCCTGTTTTTATAATCCTTCGATCCTTCCCACAGGACAGCCAACCTTCTCATGTGAGTAGGGATCAAAGAGAAACCAGTGACACTGAGGTACCGTCATGCCACTCATTGGTGAGAATGTTTTCTTGATAATCTCAGAGTTTTCTAGGATAGTGGGAAAGAGCAGTATTTTGTTCATGGAAATGCAAACTGGTCAGCCTTTTTGGAGTGTGATTTCCAATACCAAGAGCCTGAAAATACCATGTCCTGCACTACAGCAGCTTCACCTTAGGGCGGTCACCTGTGTGTTCAGGTGATGGCCGCTAGGTGTTCCTTTTGGGAGCCAGATATACTTTACTCTCAGCTCAGAGACTCAGGTGGGCATTCCAGTCTCAACTTTGGACTTTTCGTCCTTCACTGAGCTTCCACACTCATCTTTTAAGAGATTAATTGGGAGGGCAGTGTTGTGGTGCAGCAGGTTGTTGCAGCTTGCAATGCTGGCGTCCCATATCAGAGTGCCAATTGTAATCCCAGCTGTTCTTCTGTTTCAGCTCCCTGCCAATGACCTTGGGGAGGCAGCGGAAGATGGTCCAAGAACTTGGACCCCTGCCACCCATGTGGGAGACCCGGATGGAGTTCCTGGCTCCTGGCCCAGCCCTGGCTGTTGTGACCGTTTGGGGAGTGAACCAACTGATGGAGGAGCTCTCTCTCCTTCTCTGTCTCTCCTTCTGTCTCTGTCGCTCTGCTTTTCAAATAAATAAGTACGTAAATAAATAGAAAATATCAGTTATGTAAAACTGACTGATGGCTGTCTTTTGCATGAGGGATAACAGTCCAACTCGTCTCCCTGGCTTGCACGATCCAGCTGCTATTCACCTCGCTGACCTCACCTTATACCAGTTTCTCCTCACTCTTCAGCCATGCTGGCCTTTTCCTTTCTTTCTTGCTTTGATTTATTTATCTATTTTAAAGGCAGAATTACAGAGAGGCAGAGGCAGAGAAAGAGAGAGAGAGAGAGGGAGAGAGGCCTTCCATCTTATGGTTCACTCCCCAGATGGCTGCAACAGCAGGAGCTGAGCTGATCCGAAGCCAGGAGCCAGGAGCTTCCTCTGGTCTCCCACGCAGGTGCAGGGGCCCAAGGACTTGGTCCATCTTCTGCTGCTTTCCCAGGCCACAGCAGAGAGCTAGATTGGAAGTGGAGCAGCTGGGACTCGAACCGAGACCTATATGGGATGCTGGCACTGCAGGTGGCAGCTTTACCCACTGTGCCACAGTGCTGGCCCCGTTGGCCTTTTTCTTCCCATTGTTTGGGAAATGAGAAAACTGGAGCAGCTCCTTTTAAAGGGTTAAAAACTACCCACTGAAAATGATAAGCCTTAAAAGAAGGAGGTTTTATTGAGATAATGACTAAGAATTAAATTCTAGGGGCCAGTATCTGAACAGAGAAGTGCTGTAGTTATAAAATACACACTGGAGGGTTGGTGTTGTGGCATAACGGGCTAAGCCATTGCTTGCAAGGCCAGCATCCTATATGCGCGCCAGCTTGAGTCCTGGCTGATCCTCTTCTGATTCAGCTCCCTGCTAATGGCCTGGGAAAGCAGCTGAAGATAACCCAAGTGCTTGGGCCCCTGCGCCTATATGGGAGACCTGGAGGAAGCTACTAAGTGTTGCAGCCAGGACAGAGAATATTTTCACTTCTGCCCTCTCTCACCCACAGTGCCCAAATCCTAACCGAAACGGAGCATGTTAGGCAGGAGGACCTCTTTTTCTTGGTGAGGAATCCCAAAGACCTATTTTCTTTAAGGTCTGAATGAATGCCTTCCCCTCTGTCTTCCTCAGCTCCCAAATGGGACAATTGCTTTTACAAAGGAACGTGCTTAACTTGCAATCACACCATGATCCATGGTTTATAGACCAATAATGATGATCGATCCGACGATGCAGGACTTGGTAAGGCATAGTAGAGATGGTGGAATTTTTTCCTAGGTGTGATGTGGAGTCCTGGGGGATATTAGCTGGGTTGTAACAAGAGATGAAATATAGTTTAAAAATACCCCTTTGGCTGGGATATGATTTATTCTTGCTGGTTCCTAAAAGGTGAAAGTGGACAAAGGGAGGAAAGTCAGCCCAGGGGTGCGTGGCCCACAGCGTGGCTGCGGGGGATGGTGACTGCATGCAAGGAAGGCAGGCTGTGCCAGAGCAGACTGTACCCGTGGGCAGCTGGGACACGTGCAAAGGACACACATATCCCAGCTGATCAGAAGAGCGAAGAATCCGAGCTCGTCCTCATTTCTTTGTCACCTCACCAGAACTGAGACTGCTCTGTGGGCTAACTGAAGTCATGAAGATTCTTTGGCTGACTTTGACCATGCTGCTGCTCTTGTCCCAGGGCACTCCAGGTAACCTAGGCTGCTTCAGGGGAGGAGCAGGAGGTGGAGAACGGGTCTTGGTCAGGGTCCCTCAGGGCGCGTGGGAGGATGGGCTGACAGGTGGCATGTGAAATGCCGGTTTGTCTAGGGCAACAGGGAAGAGCTCCCAGATCTTGAGTTAGATCCTGCCCTGCCATGCTAGCTTTCTAATCCCCCCCAGAAAAACTTGGCTCCACTGAATTGAAATTCACTCATTTCTCCATGTGAAATAATAAATTAGGTTGAGGGGTCTACACTGGACACACTGAAATTTTGGTGTGCAAAAAAAAATGTAGCTTCTTATTTTCTCTGCTTCATCTGAATGTTTCTAGTAATCTCTATCCTGCTACTACGGAAAGTCAGGAGTTGGAAAGGGAAGAGGGGCTGGACATAAACTCAGAAGACAATTGTATTCATCTCACCTGATTTAAAACAGCCTCTTAGACTCGTTCATTCTGGTTTGGATGAAAGTTTGGTCTTTCAGTGTATCTACTTTCACCCTACACCCATCCCCTTATTCCCCTGATGGCAGTTGGATTTAGGGGCAGTTTATATGTCATTCTTAATTAAGTAGTTCACTCATTCAACAAATACTATTGAGTAGGTCCCATGTGCCAGTCACTGTGATAGTTGCTGGAGAGAGAGCAGTGAACCAACCAACCAACGAACCAAACAGAATCCCCTTCCTCTTGGAGCTCACAATTCTGTTGGGGGAGGCGATGAGTAGATTAAACAGGAAAGGAGGCGGCAAGTATCAGAGGGGCTGTTTTCAGTTTAAAAAGGGGTGTTAAGGGAATGCCCCAAAGAGAAAGTGACATTTGAACAAAGGCTTGTTCAAATGAAGTGAGGGGCTGAGCCGTGCAGGTGCGGTGGGAAGAGCATTTGTTTATTAGCTGAACTGCTGTCAAAGTCTCCTCTTTGGTTACCTTGGGGTTTAGGGTTTAGAGAGGAAAGGCAGGATAAATACTTGACTCTATCTTTGTTTATGAGTTTGCAAGCTAATGCATTAGTTTTCTATCAACCTCTGAGGTTGAGCGATTGATTTTCTCCTAAATATTAGTTTGAACACCTGGTTCTAAGCCATGAGTTCTGCAATGAGTACCCCTGTTGATATATAAATTGTTCAATTTTTGACCTTTTTAATTTGACTCATGAATCTTTTTGGTATACTCCCATGCATCTTTGGTATCTTCCTTAGTATCTGATATGACAGAATGTTTCAAATTTGTTTTATAGTTGTCTGCCCAAGAACTGGAATCAGCCATATTTCCAAGAAGCCTTGGTTTATTTTATTTTGGTGGGAGATGAAATTTTAAACCTATAATGTGGATGCTAGGAATACTGATTTCTATACATTAGTCATTGTTCTAAGATTTTTCAGTGACCAGAGATGGAAAAACCTCTCCCTGCCTCCCCTATCCATCTAAAAGTAAAGTACCCATGAGTTCATACTAGTACTCCCAATTCCAATTCAGAACTCAAATTCAGAACCAGTCTTCTCTATGACATCAAATTTTTTTCCCTTACACTGAGAATTCTGGTTCTCAAGGCTACAGGATATAGTTAAGTCACTCATTTGACTTGTCTCTCATTCCATATACGGTATGTCAGTGTAATAATACCAGTATTACCACAATAGCATGATAACTTAAACAAATTAAAATTTCTGCATATGCTCTCACCATTATGCTCTCACGTTTATATTGCACTGTATCTATTTTTTCAGGACATATGAATTCTTTATTACATACCCTACTCTCTTTTTTTAAAGTCTGTTTAATTTTAGTCCTTCTACAAGTAATTTTATATTTAATATTTATTCCTCTCTCAATGCCCCTCTCATTTGTTTGTCTAAAGCTCTTTCCTCAGGAAAAGCACATGGGAACACTGTTTCCCAGGCTTCAGTATGTTGATATGAATTTGTTTTTGCTCTTTGTACTTGGAAGTCAGTTTTGCTATATATAACATTGTTTACTTGTTTTTTTCTTTCCTTAAGTAGCTTGAATCCATGACACTATTTTTTTCCCCTGGCATAAAGTATTGTTGCCAAAGAATCTTAAGTGTGGTCTAATTTTCTTCCCCTTATATCACTTGCTTTTTTTGTATGTGGCTTGGGTACCCGAAGTATTTTTTTCTTTCTTTGTAATGTTTGATAATTATACTAGACTCTATCTTGCAGTGTGTCAATATTGTCCTGCATGCTATATTCTCTTTCAGTTTGTGTTTTCATATATTTTTCTATTTCTATTTTTATTGAGTGTAGTTTGTACCATGAGGGCACATCAAAAAGTTCATGGCAAAATCTAAATAGAAGATAGGTTTGTCTTGGTGCAAAAAATTGAAGTCTAAGCATATGAGAGATTATCAAAAAGTTTATGGAAAATGTTTATTTTGAAGCTATGCATGAATTAAATTTTTTGCATCAAAATAAACATTTTTTAAAAATTTTTATTTATTTTGATTTTATTTGAAAGCCTGAGAAAGAAGGGCAGTGGGGAGAGAGAGACAGAGAGGGGGGTTGAGAGAGAGAGAGGGGTTGAGCGAGAGAGAGGGATTGAGCGAGAGAGGGGGATTGAGCGAGAGATCGGTGTCTCGTCTGCCAGTTCATTCCCCAGATACCTGGATCAGCCAGGGCTGCAGCAGGCCGAGGCAGGAGCCAGGAGTTCAGTCCAGGTCTCCCACATGGGTGGCACAGTCTCACGTTCTTGAGCAATCACTTGCTGTATCCCATGTGTGCATTAGCAGGAAGCTGGAAATGGAAGTGGAGCCAGGACTGGAGACAGGCGCTGTTCTGAGGCAGGTGTTCCATCTTCTTTTTGGAAAAGAGGAAATTGGTGCAGTGAGAGAAGTAACCTGTACAAGCTCTTCCAGTTGGCCTGTGATGCAGATTCCCAATCCAAGTCTATGTGTTCCAAGAGTCCATGATATTAACCACTGTGATCCCCTGAATCTCTGTGAGGGGACATTCATGGGGGGCTGGATTTGGGTTGGGGTAGCCAGAGAGGATGTGAGATTATAGTTACCATCCTACCTATCTAGGGTGACTCTGCTTTCTTAAAAAGTCCCCCCCCACCCCCACCCCAGGCCTGGCAATGCGGCCTAGTGGGTAAAGCCACTGCCTGCAGTGCTGGCTCCCATATGAGCCCCGGTTTGTGTCCCAGCTACTCCACTTCCAATCCAGCTCCCTGGGAAAATAGAAGAAGATGGTTTAAGTCCTTGGGCCTCTCTATACCCACATGGGAGACCCAGAAGAAGCTCCTGGATCCTGGCTTTGGCCTGGCCCAGCCTGGGCTGTTGTGGCCATTTGGGGAGTGAACCAGCAGATGGAAGATCTTCCTCCCTCTCTCTGCCTCTCCCTCTCCTTCGCTGTAGCTCTGACTTTCAAATAAATAAATGAATATTAAAAATGAAAGCCAGTCCCCTTCCTGTCTGGCTCTGCTGATTCTCTCAATCTGGTACCTGTTTACACTCATGAGTGATAACAGTTCCCCTCTTTTTTATCTTTCTATTAGGCAGCACTGAAAAATGTTGGAATCTTCATGGCAACTGCCGTGACAAATGCACCAAGACCGAGAAGTTCTATGTTTTCTGTGTGAGTGGAAAACTGTGCTGTGTGAAGGCCAAGGAGAAGCCAAATTTACCGTGGCACTGAGTGTGTGCTTTGAAGTCCAAGGCCACAAAACAGAAGATAAATCTGTCTTGAGTCTGACCTCCGTAGATTTCTGAGCTTTAGTAAAACCTGTTTGGCTGAAGTCTGTGTCTGTCTCTTAGTGTACCCAATCACACTCGAGAGGAAATGTCTAGGTCTGGAAGTACAGTTGGCTTTTATGCATCCAAGGGTTCCACATCTATACATTAAATCTTCTGTGGATCAAAAATATTCACAAGGGGCCAGCGCTGTGGCACAGTGGGTTAAAGCCCTGGCCTGAAGCGTTGGCATGCCATATGGGCGCCGGTTCTAGTCCCGGCTGCTCTTTTTCCAATCCAGCTCTCTGCTATGGCCTGGGATAGTAGTCGAGGATGACTCAAGTCCTTGGGCCCCTGCACCTGCATGGGAAACCCGGAAGGAGTTCCTGGCTCCTGGCTTCGGATCGGCGCAGCTCCAGTCGTTGCAGCCAATTGGGGAGTGAACCATCGGATGGAGGACTGCTCTCTCTCTCTGCCTCTCCTCTCTCTGTATAACTCTGACTTTCAAATGAATAAATAAATCTTAAAAAAGAATATTCACAAAATAGCATGTGTACTGAATACGTATGGACTTTTTTCTTGTCATTCCCTAAACAATGCAGTATAACCACTACTTACATAGTATTTACTTTGTATTAGGTATTATAAATAATCTATAGATGATTTAAAGCATAGCTGCCCTTGGCACTTGTGGGAGATTGGTCTAAGACTCTCATGGACATGGTAATCTTCTGATAGTCAAGTCTCTGACATTAAATGGCCTGGTGACTGTGTGCACCCTATCCACCTCTTCTCGCATACTTGAAGTCATCTCTGGATTACTGATGATACTGAATGCAATGCAAATGCTATGTAAATAGTTGTTATACAGATTTTTATATGCATAATAGAAAGGAAAAATAGCCCGTACATGTTCAGTGCAGATGTGATTTTTTTTCCAAATATATTTGATCCACAGTTGGTTGAATTCATGCCTAAGGAACCCACGGGTATGAAAGGCTGACAGTATGGGGTGGGGGTGGGAGTGAGTGTAGGTTTTATGTAAATACTGTGCCATTCATATAAAGAACTTGAGCAACTGGATTTTGGTATCTGTGGGTGGGGGCATCTTGGAGCCAAACCCCCATGGAGGCTGAGGTATTCAGGAGAGGTATTCTGTATCCATTACCTCCTGTATTCTCCCCCAAAAATATTTACAATTTTAAGGTGTAATTAACAAAGATTTTATATATTTAAGGTGTACAGTGTGACAATTTAAAGTATGCACATATTGTAAAATATTAGTACTACCACTGAGTTAATTAACACATCTGTAGCTTCTCATATTTACCACTTTAAAAAAGGCTTGTTTATTTATTTGAGAGGCAGAGTGAAAGAGAGGGATGGAGTCAGACAGAGAGAGAGAGAGAGAGAGATCTTTCATCTGCCGGCTCACAGTGAGTGGGATTAGGCGCTTGTATGAGAGGGTGTGAAGGAGGGAGGGGCCCCTGTGTCCGCCGCGCCTCCCATGACTGAGTTCGCAGCATTTCTCCTCTCTGGAGGGGGCGCCTTCTGGAGGCAAAGAGGTGTGGTGCTCACCAACCTTTTTCACAGACTGTGTAGTCTCCAGAATTATGAGGAATAAATTTCTCGTCTTCATACATTGCACTGAATCAGGTATGCTATACATTTTTTTTTATTTTTTTTTTTATTTTTGACAGGCAGAGTGGACAGTGAGAGAGAGAGACAGAGAGAGAAAGGTCTTCCTTTTGCCGTTGGTTCACCCTCCAATGGCCGCCGCTGCAGCCGGCGCACTGCGCTGATCCGATGGCAGGAGCCAGGATCCAGGTGCTTTTCCTGGTCTCCCATGGGGTGCAGGGCCCAAGCACTTGGGCCATCCTCCACTGCACTCCCTGGCCATAGCAGAGAGCTGGCCTGGAAGAGGGGCAACCAGGACAGAATCCGGCGCCCTGACCGGGACTAGAACCCGGTGTGCCGGCGCCGCAAGGTGGAGGATTAGCCTATTGAGCCACGGCGCCGGCCTCAGGTATGCTATACATTAAATCCCAGATCTCACTCATTTTGTGACTGGAGGCGTGTACTGTTTGACCAGCCTCTCCCACTTTCCCCTGTCCCGAGCCCCTGGCAACCACCATTCCCCTCTCTGCTTTAGGAACTTGGCTATTTATTTATTTGACAGGTAGAGTTATAGACAGTGAGAGAGAGACAGAGAGAAAGGTCTTCCCTCCATTGGTTCACTCCCCAAATGGCCGCCACAGCTGGAGCTGCGCCAATCCAAAGCCAGGAGACAGGTGCCTTTTCCTGGTCTCCCATGCGGGTGCAGGGCCCAAGCACCTGGGCTATCCTCCACTGCCCTCCTGGGCCACAGCAGAGAGCTGGACTGGAAGAGGAGCAACCAGGACTAGAACCCGGTGCCCATATGGGATGCCAGCACCGCAGGCAGAGGATTAGCCAAGTGAGCCACGGTGCTGGCCCCGGAACTTGGCTTTTTAAGAGTCCATATATAGGGCTCGTGCCGCGGCTCACTAGGCTAATCCTCCGCCTTGCGGCACCAGCACACCGGGTTCTAGTCCCGGTTGGAGCGCCGGATTCTGTCCCGGTGGCCCCTCTTCCAGGCCAGCTCTCTGCTGTGGCCAGGGAGTGCAGTGGAGGATGGCCCAAGTACTTGAGCCCTGCACCCCATGGGAGACCAGGATACGTACCTGGCTCCTGGCTTTGGATCAGCGTGGTGCGCCGGCCGCAGCGTGCCGGCCGCGGCAGCCATTGGAGGGTGAACCAAAGGCAGAAGGAAGACCTTTCTCTCTGTCTCTCTCACTGTCCACCCTGCCTATCAAAATAAATAAATAAATAAATAAAAAGAGTCCATATATGAGTGCACTCATGTAGTATTTGTTTTTTTGTCACTGGCTTATTTCCCTTCAGATAGTCACCTCCAGGATCACCCATGTTGTTGCCAAGGGTGGGATTTTCTTTTGGTGCTTTGTATGATACACCACATTCTTATTCATGGATCCAACACATAGGTTGTAACCATATCTTGGCTATTGCAAATAATGCTGCAATGAACGTGGGAGTGCAGCCATCTCTTCAACATACTGATTTCTTTTCCTTAGGATATACACCGGACATTTTTTGGGATTGAAGAAAGGGATTTATTTGAAGGGCAGATTGTCAGAGTGAGAGGAAGAGGAAGAAAGAATGAGGGAGGGGGAAGGAGAGAGAGAGGGTCTGGGGGAGAGAGAGATGTTCTGTCTGCTGGTTCACTTCCCAAATGGCCACAACAGCCAGGGCTGGGCCAGGCCAAAGCTGAGAGCCAGGAACTCCATTCAGGTCCCCCACATGGTTGGCAGGGACCTGAGCACTTGAGCCATCATCTGATGCATCCCAGGGGGAGCATTAACCAGAAGCTGGATCAGAAGTGGAGCAGCCTGGACTTGAACTGGCGCTCTGATATGGGGTGCCTGCATCTCAAGCAGTGACTTAACCCACCATGCCACTGGCAGCATGAATGCTGGCCGCTGATAGTTCTGTTTTTAATTTTTTGAGGAAACGCAATGCTATTTTCTGTAATGATTGTACTAATACACATTCTGTCAACAATGCGCAAGGGTTCCTTTTTCTCTATATCCTTTCTAACACTTCTTTCATTCTCTAATATGTAGAAGTCACTCACACGTTCATCCTTCCAGCACCTTTGTCCTTAGTCCATAGGATGCTTACCATAGCCTGGGTGTGTTTGGGTGGGGAGAAGGTTGAGAAGGACACTCTGGAAGGGGGTGGGGATGAAAACACATTCTCACTTGGAGAGAGCAGAGCTTGGCTCCTGGAAAAGAAGCCAATGAAGTATTGAGGGAACAAGAAGTTTCTGCAAACGTTCAGGCAGCAGTACAGATAAGGGGCCAGGGAGGGGATGCTGGGAGGCACCAGGAGAACTGGGAAAGTGGGTAAGCTTGGAAGCAGGTTTTGATTAAAAACCCGGGTCTGTCTTTATCATCTCCCGCCATGGTCCAAACAGAATCCAGTTACACAGGAGAGCGCTGTCCTTGAGCTTGGGTGCTGGGTAAGCCTTCTGGGCTCTAGACTTGAGCCATGAAGTTTTGACACTTTTTAATTTAATTGGAAAAAGTCCGCTGAGCAGAGAGGTCTCAGTCACAATCCTCATGCTGCTTTTGTTGAGTGTTGACTGTTGAATGGAGGAGAGCCAGGAAAGCTTCAGGATGAGAGCGATTGACAAATATTCCAAGAAGTCACGAAGGTGGAATTCATGGTAAATAATGTCAGCTTCAAGCCACCAGGGGCTTCCCTCTACACTAGGCTCTGTTCTGTGTCCTGTACACGTATTACCTAATTTAATCTCTATAGAAGACTCAAGAGATCAGTAATATTATCATACAAAGGTATGTTGACAAGTTTATGGAAATGCCTATTATTGAAAAAACTGAGCATGGATCTCAAATCTTTTTTACATAAAAAAGTTTCAATTAAAAATTTCTGGGGCTGGCACTGTGGCATAGTGGGTAAAGCCACCTCCTGCAGTGCCGACATCCCATATGGGTGCCTGTTTGAGTCCTGGCTGTTCCACTTCTGATCCGGCTCTCTGCTATGGCCTGGGAAAGCAGAAGATGGCTCAAGTTCTTGGGCCCCTGCACCCATGTGGGAGACCCGGAGGAAGCTTCTGGCTCCTGGCCTACTTGGATCAGATGTTTCCTTCTTCTCCCCCACCACCCCGCAATGCTCCCTGTCCACGAAGACTACAAAAAAGGGACATGGAGATGTGTTTCCTTTCCTCGGCTGCAGTGCTGAGCAGAGGGACTAACCGGGAGCGAGTGGCAGAAGCCTGAGAAGGGAGGTAGAAGAGTCCTGGGCAAGACATGATAAATCCACTGGAAACAGAAAAAAGTTGCTTTTCCAGGCTGGGCATTCTCCAGTGAAGGGTGTTTATGATTTAAGGGTCAAACCTGGAGTCAATGGCCAGGCAGGGAGCAGACATGGAGTGTTCTGAATCTGTCTTCTCCTAGGCCAGAGGTGGCAGCAGCCGTCACTTAAGGCTCAGAAGAGGGAGATGGTGTTGTGTGGAGGACCACAGCACTGCAGAAGCCTGTACAAAGGGACCGGGTTGTCCTCAGGGCCAGGTACTGCACCTGAACATGGGGACTCCAGTCAAGTTCACAGCCAAGTTCACTCCTCAGTGCAGACAGCTTCCTGCTGAGGCCTCCTGCCTTTCTGAGTCCTCAGGTCAGTTTATGAATGGGCCTCTGGGAGACTCCTTTCCACTTTGAGAGTCTTGTCTGGAAAGCGCACATTCCCTCCTCAGATCTTGGTTCTCGCTTTCTTAGTTTTCTTGCTTTGCTCCCATACATTCTTTGCTATGTTTTCTGTTTTTCACTAAAAGGCATTCACCCCATTCATGACTTCGTACTTGGCAACATAGAAAATCTGAAATTTGTAGGTATCAGATTTTTTCTCTTGGCGACCTTGGAATGGGAGCCATGGAGAAACAGCTGATTCTTGGCAGAAGCCAGGACGGGAGGATGTGGCATCCTGAGAAGGGAGCACACTCCTGAGATGCTGGGGAAGACGGTTCAGGTGTGGGAAGTCCCTCCTTAACCTGCAGAAGAATTGCAGCCTTCTGTCTTGAATGTCTTATGCCAGGTAAGGAAAGGGTTTTTATGAGCGTTTTCTTTTCTTTTCTTTTCTTTTTTTTTTTTTTTTTTTGACATGCAGAGTGGACAGTGAGAGAGAGAGACAGAGAGAAAGGTCTTCTTTGCCGTTGGTTCACCCTGCAATGGCCGCCACGGCCGGTGCACTGTGCTGATCCGATGGCAGGAGCCAGGTGCTTATCCTGGTCTCCCATGGGGTGCAGGGCCCAAGCACCTGGGCCATCCTCCACTGCACTCCCTGGCCACAGCAGAGAGCTGGCCTGGAAGAGGGGCAACCGGGACAGAATCCGGTGCCCCGACCGGGACTGGCACCCGGTGTGCCGGCGCCGTAAGGCGGAGGATTAGCCTATAGAGCCGCGGCGCCGGCCTATGAGCGTTTTCTCTACTGCTGAGAACCACTGTTGATTCTGATAAGTAACAAACATGGTGGATTTAGATTCTTCCTTTATTCTGAATCTTACTCTGCTCATCAGGGACCACAGGAGCAAACACGCAGAGCTGTGATGGGCTCTTTAACGAGGGGAGATAGACCCCAAGCAAGAGTTCAGTGCAGGAGAAACTGAGCCATGAGGGGCCTCTGGCTGTATAAAGGAAGCGCCTTCTCTACCAGGGCTTCTGTAAGGACGGTGCCCCCACGAGTGGCTCCCTTCTCTCAAGACACTCAAGGCACTGTTGTGTCGTTTGCTCTTGCCTTTGGCCTTGTAAACTCAAATAGGTCCTCAGTTCCCTCTGTGCATCCCTTTCGTAAGGAGGAGGAGGGATAGGTGCCAGTCCAGGGGGCTCATCTCCTTGCTAGCAGCAAGCCCACCCAGAAGCAAGCCCTTTATCAAGGGAACATTTCTTCCTTTCATTTTCGCCCCGTGTTGCAGATGGTTGGGTTAATTCTTTTTTTTTAGTATATGAAGTATTTTATTATTATTTTATTTTGTTTATTTGAAAGACAGAGTTACAAAGAGAAGTAGAGACAGAGAGAGGTCTTCCATCCGCTGGTTCACTCCCCCAGATGGCCGTAACAGCTGGAGCTGTGCTGATTCAAAGCCAGGAGTTTCTTCCGAGTCTTCCATGTGGGTGCAGGGGCCCAAGGACTTGAGCCATCTTCCACTGCTTTCCCAAAGAGCTGGATTGGAAGAGAAGCAGCCTGGACTAGAACCGGTGCCCATATGGGATGCTGGTGCTTCAGGCCAGGACTTTAACCTGTTATGCCACAGCACCAGCCCCTCTTTTTTTTTTTTTTTTTTTTAAGATTTATTTATTTATTTGAAAGGAAGAGTTACACATAGAGAGGAGAGGCAGAGAGAGTCTTCCATCCTCTGGTTCATTCCCCAGTTGGCCGCAACGGCCAGAGCTGTGCTGATCCGAAGCCAGGAGCCAGTAGCCAGGAGATTCTTCCGGATCTCCCACGCGGGTGCAGGGGCCCAAGGACTTGGGCCATCTTCTATTGCTTTCCCAGGCTAAAGTAGAGAGCTGGATCAGAAATGGAACAGCCGGGTCTTGAACCGGTGCCCATATTGGATGCGGGCGCTTCAGGCCAGGGCGTCAACCCTCTGTGCCACAGCACCGGTCCCTGGGTTAATTCTTTATGGCAGGTTTATCAGAATCATTCTTGTTTCATATTAGAGCCCCCAGCCCTCACAGGCATCCTGGAAACCCTGGGTCTTGAACCTTCCCGGACCTCATAGTCAAGGCACTGGGCTGCACTCCCACCCACAGTGCATGCGTTTTACTGTGTCCGTGTTCCTGACTTCATTTGGCATTATTCACTCCTGTATGTTTGCTAGTCTGCAGCCAGTCTGCCATCTGCTTTTATATGGCTTACCAGTTAAGGACGGTTTTTTACATTTTTAAATAGTTGGAAGAAATAAAAGTGATAATACTTAATGTTATGTGACAATTATATGGAATTCAAATTTCTGCATCTGTGACGTATTGCAATACAGCCACGCACGTTTGACTGTGTCTGCTGCTGCGCTACAGCTGCGGAGTTGAGTAGCTGTGGTGGAGACTGCATGGTGTATAGACTATATTTACTATCTGCATCTTCTTATTTACCTTTTTATTAATATAGAGAGAACAGACTTAATGAAGTCATAGACACAATTCTAAGAATATACTATCTGCATCTTTACAGAAAGCTTGATGACATTTGGTTTACATCATGAATTTTTCTTGGATACAATAGTCTTATTCCATGCCAGAAAGAAGATTTTCCTCATTATTACATTTTTTGTGTTTGCTCATTTTAAAATGCTAGGCCTAGCTGCTGGCTTCATGTGTGTGTGAGCCATTACTAAGTAACATTCCTCTCTAAACCCCCAATTACAACAGCAATCCTTGATTATCACTCACATGGCAGCAGGTTGCTGGGGTTTGGTTCAAATGCTGCTCTCGAAGCTGGAATGGCTGGGGTAGCCAAAGTTCTGTCTGCAAATCTGCAGGTCACCTGGGATGCCTCTGCCCCACGTAGCTCCCATCATGAGGATGTTTGGGCCTGGGACATGTTCTTCTCATGGTGACAGCCAAGGCACAAAAGGTGAAGTGAAATCATGTATCACCTTTTAAAGCCTGTGCCTAGAACTGAGCTTCTGTCACTTCTGTGCCTACATCACAAGGCCCAGGCTAAGACCAAGGTTAAAGGACAGCAAGATAAAGTCAAGGGCTCCCAGAACGGGACCTTGGCAAACGTGTGGATTCCAGTCGAGGTGAAGAACTGGGGTCAAAAAATGAATCTACAATACCTTATAAGAATACCACAATGGCAATAAGTGGTTTTCCTTAGCCATCCAGGAGGATGCCACAGGTTCCCATGTACATGTGCTATTAGAAGGAAGGGCTGTGTCAGGCTAGTGTGTGGCACAGCAGGTTAAGCCACCCCCAGCTATGCTGGCATCCTACACTGGAGTGCCAATTCAAGTCCTGGCTACTCCGCTTGCTATCCAGCTTCCTGCTAATGTGCCTGGGAAGGCAAAAGAAGATGGTCCAAGTCCTTGGTCCCCTGCCACCCATGTGGGAGGCTCAAATGGAGTTCCTGGCTTCTGGCTTTGACCTGGCCTAGCCCTGGCTGTTGCAGTCTTTTGGGGAAGTGAACCAGCAGGTGGAAGATCTCCCCCTCCCCTGCCATTCTGTCTTTCAAATAAGCACATTTTTAAAAAAGATTTGTTTATTCATTTGAAAGGCAGAGTTACAGACAGGCATAGGCAGACAGAAGGATCTTCCATCCACTGGTTCACTCCCCAAATGGCCACAATGGCTGGAGCTGGGCCAGTCTGAAGCCAGGAGCCAGGAGCTTCTTCACGGTCTCCCACATGGGGTGAGGGGGCCCAAGGACTTGGGCCATCTTCCACTGCTTTCCTAGGCCATAGCAGAGAGCTAGATTGGAAGTGGAGCAGTTGGGTCTTGAACCGGTGCCCATATGGGATGCTGGCAATGCAGGCAATGGCTTTACCTTCTATGCCACAGCATTGGCTCCAACACACAGATCTTAAAAAAAGAAGTTCTGGGCCGACGCCACGGCTCAATAGACTAATCCTCCACCTGCGGTGCTGGCATACTGGGTTCTAGTCCCGGTCGGGGCGCCGGATTCTGTCCCGGTTGCCCCTCTTCCAGGCCAGCTCTCTGCTGTGGCCTGGGAGTGCAGTGGAGGATGGCCCAAGTCCTTGGGCCCTGCACCCCATGGGAGACCAGGAGAAGCACCTGGCTCCTGGCTTTGGATCAGCGTGGTGTGCCGGCCGCAGCAGCCATTGGAGGGTGAACCAATGGTAAAGGAAGACCTTTCCCTCTGTCTCTCTCTCTCTCACTGTCCACTCTGCCTGTCAATAAATAAATAAATAAATAAATAAATAAATAAAATAAAAAAAGAAGTTCTGTGGCTTTCCTGCATTTCCAATCCATGAATCCCGATGCACTCATTTCCGGGGTGATGACTGTGGAGCTATGTGGGTTACTTACTTCTGTGTCCGCCCTTTTTTGATAACAAATCACCAGCACCCTGGACATCCTAAAATGCCCTTAATGCTGGAAAAGAACGCAGGGCACATGTAAGTGTCACCCTTTCGCTGATCTACTTGGTTCCTCTTCAGTTTCCTCAGTCAGAAATAAATCAGTACCAGAAACATTTGTTCTTGTTCTTAGCTGCCCAGTTGTACTATGCAACTCTTCAGAAGAAAGGCTGTCTGTGTGTCACCCTCCCTTCCTGTCTCCCAGCTTCCTCAATCAGTGCGGGTCATTACTTGCCTGCTGGCCTGATCTCCAATGACTGTTCCCTTTCTGGTTCACTGATCACAGCTCTGCCCTGCTCCTTAGGGCAATAAATGCCCACCTGGACCCCCCAGGACGGAGACCTCTGCCTGTCTTGCCAGTCCAGAAGCCTCCCATTCTTCCTTCAGGCCCCATCCTTCATGAAGCTCCTTCTCCTGGTTTTGCCTCTTGCCCTGTTCTTGGGCCAGGTCTCCCCAGGTAACTAGGACCTCTCCGAGGGGCTTTGGGTCAGGGAACCTTCTGTGTGCTTAGGGAACTCTGAGGGCTCTGACCGCTTGGCTGGGAGAATGGCCTGGAGGTCTCCACAGAGGCCTTTCAATCGTTGCTCTGGTCAAGAGGAGGTTTGGTACTCTAGTACCAGCTGATGCCCATTTGTTGACCTGTCTGACCTCTCTCTGGAGAAGTTGCACATGAGGTCCTGGGGTGGGATGCAAAGAGAAAGAGACTTAGGTATGGAGTCGAGAGGAAGTGTAGGCTTTTCCAAAAACACTCCTTGGGAAGATTTGGACATTGATTTATTGTTGCCTCCATGAAAATGGTTCCCCAATTTCTGGCTGAGAATTCTAATTCTCAACCCCAAATTATAGGGAACCTATAGGTTGTAGGTTCCCCAGAGCAGCTGTTTGTTCCTAATTCCCTTGATAGCAAACTGTTCCAGGGGGTTTGGAGAAGGGAGTGTAACATTCTTGGAAGCTTTGTTGATGTCTTAGAGGACTTACCGATGTTCGAATAGGTTTATTTTAGATTCTTGTCCCCTTTCATTGACACGGCCAGAAGGAGGGGGCCAGGGGGCAAGTGGACAAGGTGGCTAATTGGCACTGGGCTCTGAGTGCCTTATACTGTATGAGGAGATGAAACCCTGGAGGGAGGGATGTTCTTTCTTCTCCACAGGGCGCTGGCCAAGGAGGCGAAGCTGTCCAGTAGATCCCATGCCACTGACTTCGGGGCTGTGACTGGGGACACAAGTGGAGGGAGAAAAGACAGTGGTTATAGACAGAGAGTATAGACAGTGGTTATAGACAGAGATTATAGACAGTGGTTGCAGACAGAGATTATAGACAGTGGTTGTAGACAGAGATTAAAACAGTGGTTGTAGACAGAGATTACAGACAGTGGTTGCAGACAGAGATTATAGACAGTGGTCTACAATCTCCACTGAGCTCAGAGGCCACCTTGTAAAGGTTCCTTCCCCATGGATCTCCTTATCCTGTGCTACTCTCTGGTAGTCGGCTTCAGCTTCTCCCTCCCTCAGTTCTTGGTTTGCTTTCAACACTGACACTGCTCCTTCCTTCTCTTTTGCTTTCAGTGATGAAGTGTTGGGGTACATCAGGCAGGTGCAGAGCGACATGTAAAGAGAGCGAAATATTCCATATATTGTGCAAATCCGAGGAGAAGTGCTGTGTGAATCCCAAGTACGTGCCTGTCAAACCAGCATCCACCTCTTTGGCAAAGATACCGCTCCAACCATGAGTCTCAACATCACTGGATTCCACAGTTCTATTAAATTACTCTTGGCTATACCTTGTTTCTGTGTGACAATTCCACCTAGTTATATACTTAAGACAAGTAAATAAAGAAGGTGTGTGTGTGTGTGTGTGTGTGTGTAAGAACAGAATGGACCAGTAAGTGGTAAAAATATTAGCCTTGCAAATAGCTCCTAGTTTATTGTTCCATAGCTAGTCCTAGATTATATAATACTGTTCAACAGGTGGGCATTGGGCACAGTGGGTTAAGTCACCACTTGGGATGCCCACATCCCATTTCAGAATGCCCAGTTCAAGTCCTGGCTACACTGCACTTCTGATTCTGTTTCTTGTTAACGTGTCTTGGAGGCAGCAGAGGATGACACAAGTGCTTGGGTTCCCGATACCCACATGGGAGACCTGGATGGAGACCCGGGCTCCTGGCTTCAGCCTGGCCCATCCTGGTTGAAGCAGGCAATTGGGGAGTGAACCAGCAGATGGAAGGTCTGTCTCTTTTTCTCTGTCTCTCCCTCTCTCAGCATCACTCTGCCTTTCAAATAAATAATTTAATAAAAAAAGAATGTTCCTCATGCTCATTTGATTCTTTTCTTCTAGACCAGCACTGCCCATAGAACTTTCACGATGGGTTGTCCAGCAGAGTAGCTACATGTGGTAACTGAGCACCCTAAGTGTGGTTGACATGACCCAGGAATTGCTTTTTAATTTAATTGAACTTAATGTAATCTGTATTTAAATGTACAGGCTAAATGTGGCTAGTAGTTACTGTATTGTGCCGTGTAGCTTTAAAGTCTAGAGACGTAAGTCTGAGGCAGCTGTGGGCACCAATCTCTGGGTATTTTAGGGGAGACCTGGCAGTAAGCAAGGATCTGGGACGAACACAAGAAGCCATTGTCAGTCCACTGCTTCTCAGCTTTCTCCCAACGCACCTGCACTTCTGCCCTGTCCTGTCAGGGGCTCCAGCACGTGTCTCTCACACATGGAGAGAGCTGCCGTCAGCCCCTAAGTGGGACAATAGGGGCTTTACCTCTCTCCGCCTCATGGTCTGGGTCTGGGTTCCAAGTATCCCCAACTCCCAACCCTTGCTACTTACCTGATTAATCAAGAACTTTTTTTTTTTTAAACAAATGAGGCAGTTTATTGACCCAGCATCCTTTGTTTTAGTGTTTCTTGTTGGCAGCGACCACCTGTCCAGTGAAGTCTGTCCAGGTCTTTTTGTCCTTGAGAAGTCAGTTTGCGGCCCCAGTCTTGGTTCTTTTCCACCATTTTCAGCTCACTGGGGCTTGCGGGACCCAGGGGGCCACACTTGCAGCCTCAGCACAAGTGGCTGGGCACGGGGCCGTTTCTCTGATGTCGAGGTAGACCATAGACCTTGGTCACAGAGCTCGCACCAGCTCCGCCCCGAGGGTCCAGGTGCTGTGTGGTGGAAGCAGCATGGGTGCAGGGCTTGACCGTGTCCATCCACTAGGGACTTTCGGCTCCCTGAACGTGTTGAGGAAGGCTGCCAGAGCTCTGGGGAACTGCTGCGGGTTACAGTAACCCCAGGCATCGCGCCGCCTCTGCACTGCCAGCCAGGGGACATGGGCAGAACCGTTTTTTTTTTTTTTTTTTTCTTTCAATCCTGAGTCTGAAATTCTGTTAGGGTCACTTGTCTCTGTTGTGTGAGAGCCTTGCACTTGGCCACAGCTTTACGGCCTCAGTCTCCCCCAACTCATTTTCCTGATCAAAAACCCCAACCTCGCTGCGTAAGTATCACTCTGATTGTCAGGGCAAGAGCGTTGGTTCCAGGATCAGAGTATCGGCTGTGTGGCCCTGGGAAAGTCACTTGACCCTCTGTTGTGTCATCTCTAATGCAGGGACCTGCCCTACACAGTGTACAGGGTGTCATGAGAATTAAAGGAGAGAAGAGCTAGGAAAGTACCCAGCCCGGAGCCTAGCACACCTTCAGTTCTTGATACATGTGAGGTGAATCTAGGTTCATATTTACTCCCATATTTTCTCCTTCTAGGTTCTTCATAGCAATTCTCTGCTGATAAAAAAAAAAAAAAATAAGATCTTCCTTACTCGCTTTGCCCTCAACGCCTCTTTGGAATTAATGTTTTGTGTTTTTTTCTTTTTTCTTTTGACATGCAGAGTGGATAGTGAGAGAGACAGAGACAGAGAGAAAGGTCTTCCATTTATTGTTGGTTCACCCTCCAATGGCCGCTGCAGCCGGCACGCTGCGCTGATCTGAAGGCAGGAGCCAGGTGCTTCTCCTGGTCTCCCATGCGGGTGCAGGGCCCAAGCACTTGGGCCATCCTCCACTGCACTCCTGGGTCACAGCAGAGAGCTGACTGGAAGAGGGGCAACCGGGACAGAATCCGGCGCCCTGACCAGGACTAGAACCCGGTGTGCTGGCGCTGCAAGGCGGAGGTTTAGCCTATTGAGCCACGGCGCCGGCCAAATTAATGGTTCTTAAAATTGGAACGGAGCTCTTGCCTCCACTGCCACCCCTCTACCCTGTTTTCACTAGTTCACCTCCCTAACTCTGCTTCCTTCCATCCTCGCCTTGAACGTCAGGATCTATTCCCTGGGTCATTTCTCTTGCAGACCTTGCCAGTTCCTTTGTTCACTCTGCCTGGTATCACTCTCAAATTCCCAACCATGGTAGAATGCAACCACTTGCCTGCCTTCTCCATATGTATAAATTAGCAGCTGATTATTGGGAAAAGAACCATCCAACTGGCCTCACTGATTCTGCTGGAAATTCAAGGCCTCAGACTCAAATAGCACTCAACATTGCCCACCTACTCTCTTGTCTTCTCCAAGAAACTTGCTATTTTTTGAGATAACCATTACAGGATTTTCCCCCTCTTTTCAATCTTCTGTCACTCCTTTCCTCTAAAATACTAATCCTTGCCTCATATTTTGAGAAAATAGAAACCGTTGGAAGCAACTCCTTTACCTTCTCTCTGAGAAGTCTACGCACGCTTGCATTTGGTCCTGCAGCTCCCATCTTCCTTTAGTTTACGGTGAAAGAATGGCGTCTATTATAGAAATGTCCTTCCTCGGCATAGAAGCTGGCCCCTCTGCCTGTATACAGCCCATCCTCTCTCCTACTCAAGCACTTCATCTGCAATTCTTATCTGTATTCCCCCAGTCTGTTTCTATCATACCAAGTACTCTGGTCCCCTCATCTTAAAATAAAGCCTCCCTTAATTTCACATTCATCCACGCCCCATTTGTTGGCAGTTCTTCAAAGAAAAACTTCTAAAAATGTTGTCTGCCTTCACTTTGCCAATTTTTTTTTCCCGTTAACTTTTCAACTCAATTCTGTTCAGCTTTGACCTCGTTGTTGAAACTTCTCCAGGAAAGATACCCAGCTATCCTCAACATGGCCTCACCTGGTGGAAGCCGCCCTGTTTTCCTGTACTTTGATTTCTGAGAAAGTATTTGATTTGGAATCACTGCCTCCTCATTGAAATGCGTCCTTGTCTTGGCTTCAAAGAAACCAGACTCTCCTGGTTGTCCTCTGATCAGCTAGAGAAGGCCAATCCATTTCTAGCCTGGCTCTTCCTTCCCTTCCCAAAAGCTAGAGCTTGAGCCTAGGCTGTTTTCACACCGGGTAATTTGAGTACTTTCTATATTCTGATCACTCCCGTGTTCCTATCTGCAACTCCACGCTGTCTCCAGCCTCTCTGCTCAGGTACCTGTGCTGTTGAGTGACATCTCCACGTGGTCGCCTCTTGTATCTGGGATGGAACTCTTGCTGGGGACCTCACTTCACCAAGCCTTATACTAGCCTTTTACTTCCCTCCTCAGTCAATGGCAACAACAGGTTCCCAGTTGCTCCAAACCCAGCAGTCTTCTTTGATTCTTCATTTTGCCTTACTCCATTCAACCTATCAGCAAAATCCTAAGGCTCTACCTTCAAAATGCATCTCAAAACCATCCATTTCCTTCCGCCTAGTTCAAGCCATGGTCATCTTTGTCTGAACTTCTACAACAGTCTCCTAACTAGTTTTGCTAATTATTCTTTGACAGAGCAGCCTAGAGGTTAATTATATACTGTCACAGCTCTGTTTAACTCCAAACAATGACTTCTTATTTAAAAATAAAATCTAGACTGAGTGCCATGGGCTGTGAGGCCTTTCCTGGCCTGGTTAGGTAAGGAGAGCTGGGAATGTTTATTCTGGGTCTGGAAGGTATTTATTCTAGAACTTGTTTCTGATGACCAGTAGAATCAAGAAGAAAGGATTTTCCTCAATCTGGGTATTGAGTGGTTTGAACACATCATAGGATGTATCAGGTAGTAGGAGGTTGGGAAGGGTAGGGTGAGAAACACTGCACCCAAACTGGATTTATCTAGATTCTGATTACATTTACATTAAGATCTTGTTCTACACTTTGAATCCACAAAGATCTGTCTGTGTATTGGCAGTCACTCAAGAATTTGATGGCAGTTCTATACTGTTGGGACTCAGGACTTTGTATCTGCTCCTCTTGATGTCTCAGACTGTTAGCCATCAGTACTCCTTCTGCAGTGTTTTTAGGAACACTCCCCTTACCTCACTGTTTTCAGGGATGCTCTCGCAGCCCAGGTCTTCATTAGCATCCCGTCTCCATTTTTGCTCGTATTCCGGGTCTTCTGCTGCATCTTGCTGCAGCTCCTGTAATCTCCCTGGCAGGTCAGAACCCACAATAGCCTGCTGTGATCCACCTTAGGCACCAGCATCACACCCGGGCTCTTGCCATTGATGCTGCCACTAGGTGAGTGTTTTCTCCAGCTCTGCTGTGGTTTGGATTTAATCTTTAAAGATTCCAAGTTTTTATGAGAACATTCAGTTGGCTGGTCCTGGATCAAATACCTGTCTGATAATCCCCAGGGTGGCACAAAAGAATATTTGCCTTTAGTGCTTTCTGAAGCAAGAGGTCAGCTTTCCTATCAAGACCCAGAGGATAGAGAGTAACTCCAATCTGAAAAGGGCCTTAGATGCTGAGTGTCTAAAACTGCAGCAGATGACTATGATCAGGGACTATTCACCTTCACCCGGATGCTTTCCCTCTTACCTCAGTCTCTCATTGCCAGGGTGAGGAGAGGGCGGTGCCCAGGGTAGAATGTCTAAGGGGAACTCTCAGGGTCATGGAGATGCCTTCTTAAAGCTCTCTCCTTAGGTACCTACCTCACCTCTCCCTCGTCCTGGCCATGCCAATTACATCCTGCATTTGTCTTTTGCAGGACGTAACACACCTGTACTTGATGCTTGCTTAGTGTTTCTCTTTATGACAGATTATCATCTCCATAAGACAAAGATTACAGATGATTTTCTTTTCTGTACCCAGAATGGAATTTGTCACACATTGGGCATTGAACTAAAACCAGTTGAGTTACTGACGGACTACATGAGATATATTTGGCTTAAAATAGCAGAAATGGTTCCATGAGACAATCCCTTCTTTCAGGTGTATTACACAAGTATTTGATATTCAGTAATCATAGAATGATACTGAAATACATGTTGGAATTATAATACAGAGCACTTAGCAGGGATGAGTGGCAGTCACATCCGTTGCTGTGATGGTCCTTGGTCAATGGCCTCATTTTTTTTAAAAGATTTATTTATTTATTTGAAAGAGTTACACAGAGAGGAGAGGCAGAGAGAGAGAGAGAGAGAGAGATCTTCCATCCAATGGTTTACTCCCCAATTGGTTGCAACAGCTGGAGCTGTGCCGATCCAGAGCCAGGAGCTTCTTCCAGGTCTCCTGTGTGGGTGCAGGGACCCAAGGACTTGGGTCGTCTTCTACTGCTTTCCCAGACCATAGCAGAGAGCTGGATTGGAAGTGGAGCAGCCGGGTCTCGAACCGGTGTCCATATGGGATGCTGACGCTTCGGGCCAGGGTGTTAACCTGCTGCGCCACAGTGGATCTTTTGTTTTAAGGACAAGAGAAGAATGTCATGGCATATGGGAGAGGAGATGGGGGTTTGGTTTCAAGGGTGGTAGATGAAGCACCCCAAGGTGGCAGGTAGACGGGCAGCATTGCTTGCATGTGAATCACTGTGGAGACAGCCACTATGGCCACGCCCCTGGGAAAGGCAACAAAGGCCTCGATGGCTGGGCCCACGTTTGGTGGAGGCTGC